GACCCCTTCTAAACCCAGCCAAAGAAAGGTGACCCAACAGAATGTGGAAACTACAGAACAATCTCACGGATTTCACATGCAAGCAAGATTTTACTGAAGATTATCCAAAAACGACTGGAACAGCTCATCAGCAGAGAACTACCAAAAGTCCAGATTTCTCTAGAGTAATAAAACAAAACAAAACAAAAAAACCACTGAAAAAGACATAAGAAGAGCACTATCACAAAGTGAAATCCTTAGGACTAAACCTAACAAGAGAAACAAATTATCTACAAAAAGAAAATTAGAAAACTTTACTACAAGGAACTAAAGGAGACCTAGATAAATGGAAGAATAGATCACGTTCATGGACAGGAAGACTCAAAATTGTGAAATGGACAACCCTACTAAAAGCAATCTATAGGTCAATGCAACTCCAATACAAATACTACTGTCACTCTTCAAGGATATGGAAAAGGCAATTCCCAGCGTTATCTTAGAAAAGAAAGAGACCCTGAATAAGCAAAGTTCTACTGAAAAAAAAAAAACAAACAAACCCAAAGGAGGAGGTATCACAGTCCCTGATCATAAAACCTATTACACAGCCTTAGTGATCAAATAGCATGATAATGGTACACTAACAGATACATAGACCAATGGAATGGAATCAAGAACCCAGAAATCAACCTACCTAACTGACCTCTGACGAGACAACAATCATGAATGTCCACAGGTATGTATGGGGAGGTAGAGGGTAAAGGAGTCGAGATTAATGAATGATGGGAGGGTGTTGCAGACCAAGGGTCCCAAAGAATGAAATAATTTTATAATTATTAATAATGAGACAGACTACCAGGAATGATATAGAACAGAGAGTGTGAAAAACAGGGGGCCAACAGTTCCCATGACTGAAGGCCCCAAGCCATGCTTCTCTGAGTATTTATTTAGAATCATAAGGAAGGTAAACAAAGCAAAATCATAAGGAAGTACAAAACAAAAACAAAGGATAAGGGTGAAGTCTTTTACTATTAGTAAATTTGATATTCAGCTTCCCTCTCTTCTTTTAGGTTTGAAATGTCCATTATAAAAATGAAAAGTACTCTTAATGGAAAAACTAAAAAGTACACTACTGATATCCCTATCCCCCTTAGTCCACTGGCCTAGTCCACAGGGTGCAGGGTGCTGTGAGCCCAAAGGCCATACCTGTGGGGGTTCAAATTCACCAGAGGCTCCAAGGAGCAAGATGGGTAATGTCTTCCCACATGACATAAAGCATCAGAAACCTGCTGGAGGGTCAGCGATGGGCAGGCTCTGACTTGCTGGCAAGGAGTGATCACCCTAACAATGAACACGGGGAGCACAGCAGATAAAGGATCACAGTGCTGACCACGAGGCTGATCCACTGGAGGATGACGGGCAGTCTCCTCTGATCAAGATTTACACCCTCAAGAAAGCACAGGCTGTGTCTCCATGAGTCAGAACCACCTCTACAGCAGTGGGGTGCATCTGGTTAGCAACTCCACACCCTTAAAATGAAACCCTCCCTATGCCATAAAATTGTGCCTCCCTCAATTTGTTTCATTTCTCATTGAAATGAGAGGCTCAATTAAAAACAAAAGCGAACTCTGGTCTTGTCTAGTGGCAAGAAGCTGCACTGCAATCCTAAAGGCACGTGGTTCGAAACCACCAGAAGCTCCACTGGAGAACGAGGGACAATCTCCTCCTATGCCAATAGGATCTGACTTCACAGTATACAACAAGAAGGAAAAAAAAACCACAAAAACTCTGCTCTTGTCACAATGTCCAACCTAATAGGATGGAGATCATCCTTCTTCAATCACTTCTGTCACCCCCCTAACTCCTACTTTCCTTTGCCCTTGCCCAGCTAGCACTGTTTCAAATCCAAAGAGGAACCCATGCCTTAAAACAGTCTTCTGGTCTTTCCTGTTTCTAATCCATGGTTGACTTTCCCTTTTTGCCAAAAACTTCCAATGGCTCCCCAATATCTAGAGGATTCAAGTGAAAGTTCTTGTCACCAAAATCCGATCTTTTTTTTTCAATTTGACCTTTCAATAACTCCAAAGTCAAGCACAGGATCCAGACAACACCTGGGTTACCCTCTTACCTATAAACGCCGTGGGCACACTGCCTCTGCACCTCTGTTCTGGCCAGTGTCTGTGCAGTTCCTCCTTTCTTCTAGAAATTACCTTCATGGTTCAAAGTGCAAGAAAACACCCCATCTCACATTAAGTCAACTCTATCTTTCACCTTTCATTTCTAATATTAAACTAGCACAGCTATTCTAAAACACAGTAATGCAACTCTGAAAATACTGGTATATACATCTAACATTCCACCTAAATCTTTTCTACAATAGCAACTGGTATAAGCCGAGGCCATCTTACCTTTTCAGTCCTAGTTTCCCTCACTACTACACCCTCCCAGAGAGAAATCCAATTTCACTTCTCTGAGTGAAAGTTCTAGTTCCTTATGTTAAAACAAAGGTCATCAAAAGTTAGGTAGGTGATGTCCCTTCAGTCAGATCTCCAAAGCTAGTAACTCAAGGTTTCCTTTCTCATTAAAAGCCATCAGTTGACATAAATGCTGAAGCCACAATAGTTACTAAGCCTGTGCTATGGAATAATTTCTACGCAAGAAGCCCGGGTGACCAGTGGCTATGCATTCACTGGACACTGAAATCCCTCGAAAGTTTCCAAGGCTACTCACCTTTTCCCCAAGCAGTAGCTAGAGGACTCAAACCACCAACTTTTTATTAACATTCTACACTAGGCCACAAGGACTCCATCAGTTGCTCAGAAATCCATGTCTGTCAACATTAGTATTGGAAACTCCACGGGGCAGTTCTATTCCATCCTACTGGGTTGCTAGGAGTTGCAATTAAACAAACAGCAATGGATTCGACCTGATTACTGGACTAGGGGCTTACCACACACCCTCACTGTGAAAACACATATCTGGGGAAGTAAACAAGTCTTCCTATTATAAAAACTAAAACACTGAGCCACAGAGAGGTGAGGGAGTGTATATGTACTGCAAACAACTACCTGAGCAGGCAATCCAGATTTCAAATATCCTTTTCTGCTACAATAAAATCTACTGCCTTGGAGTCAATTCCACCTCCAAGCGACCAGATTTCTGATCTGGTTTCTCTGAGTGATATGGTTTCTGAGGCTGTCAATCTTTAGGGAGGAGACTGCCCATCATTCTCCTGCTTGGTAACTGGTGGATTCAAACCGCTGAGCTTTCAGACAACCGTTCACCACGTTACACACTCTCAGAGTTCCTTTCCTACTACAATAAAGTATAAAAACACACGGAAAGAAAAACACTTTGTCTAAAACCAGCATTCAGGCAAATGAAGTTTTAATTCGGTCAAAAAGGCATACGTCCCAGAGGTGAGGGGTTCGAATCCACCAGCTGCTCTGCTGGAAGAGGGACAATCTCCTCCAGTACTAGTCAGATCTGATTTGACAGTACATTAAAAAAAAAAAAAAAGGCACACGCGTGATCATTTTTAAACCTGTGAAATGAAGACGACGTGTGCACAGCTACTGAATAGTCTTTAAAAAGAACTCCTTCCCAGGCCTCCCTCTGCACACCGCGAGGATGCACCGGGCCGGCGGTGAAATGGGTCTGGAGTGGTAGGGCTCCCGCGAGCAAAGGCAGCGGGGGCTGCCCGAGGACAAGCGGCCAGCAGCCTCTGGTCTCTGCGCGCGGACTGTCGCCCAGGATGGGGGTCGGCGTCCCGACTGGGGCCCTCCACGGAAAACAGACCCCATTTGCTCAAGAGGAAGCCGGACGTCCGCCGTGACCGTGAAGAGTCGTGCGGCGGGGCTTTTCGGGACCCCACCCGGGGAAGGCCCGCTGGAACCCCGCGCCAGGATCGCGGTCAACCGACCAGGGCGGGGTAGGGAAAGGCCGCGCCGGGCACCAGGCGCTGGGCATCCGGGGGCGCCCCGGGGCCGCCCACACTCCAGCCAGGTCCCGGCGCAGGCCGCCCTCGGCCCGGCCAGGCCAGCCGCAGGACTCGCGACCCCCGGCGCTAACTTCCACCCGCTTCCGGCAAGGATACAAAATAGACGGAGAGGAAGATGAGCGCACAGCAATCGAGGAGAGAGAAGACGAACACCACCGCCTCCATACTCCACATCTGCCCCGGCCACTCCTTCAAGTCAAACCGGCAGCGCAGCCTCCTCCGCCCCGCCCGGATGGTTCCTATTTCCGGATCGCCTGGGCGTGGCTTCAGCCCCTGTGTGTCGCTGCATGCCGGGAGTTGTAGTCATTTGTAGTTCACCTTCCTGGGACCATGGCATATCGGGATTTGTAGTCAAGTGTAGTTCACCTCCACCCTACTACAAAATTCTATTTAATCTCCAGCTTCAATTCTTTCACCACGTTCATATTTTCCAACTACCACTCCTTTATTTCCAACTTCTGCATTCCAGTAATCAGTCATTATTAATGAATGCATCTTGGTCGCATGTTTGATCAATTTCAAACTGCAATAGTTTTCAGGGAGTTCTGACCAAGCAGCAAGACGAAGGCCCGCGCGGTTCAAATCCACCAGATGCTCTGCAATAGAAGGTGGGGAAATCTCCTTCTCTGACAGTCAAATATGAATCGAGGGTTGTTTGCTGTTGTTGTTATGTGCCATCCAGTCGATTGCGACTCATAGCGACCCTAAGTACAAGAGTTCTAAATGCTGTTCTATCCTGTGCCAACCTAGCCATCTCAAACACACTTATTCCCACCGCTCCAGTCACAGAATCGATCCAACTCATCAAAGGTCTTCCTCTCCTTCCCCACCCGGCGACTCTGCCAAACATGATGTCTCTCTCCAAGGACCAGTCCCTCCTTGCAACTTGCCCAAAGTATGTCAGAGGAAGCTTCAGAATCCTTGACTCCAAGAAGCATTACGGCTTCACCTTCTCCAGGACAAACCTGTTTGTTCTCCTAGCAGTCGATGGTATATTCAACACTCGTCTCCAGCACCACAGCTCAAAGGCATCAATTCTCTTTTTATCAACCCTACTCACTGTCCAACTCTCTGATGCATAGCACGTAATTGAGAAGACTATAGCCCGGATCAGGCGCACCTTAGTCTCCAGTCTGATGTCTTTGCTCTTCGGTACTCTTGAGAGGTCCCTCACAGCTGACTTTCCCAATGCAATTCTTCTCTTGATTTCCTGGCTGCTGTTACCAAGAGTGTTGATTGTGGAGCCAAGCAAACTAAAACTGTTAAC